GGCCACCGCAGCCTCGACCTGCTGGGCTCCAGCGATTCTTCTGCCTCAGCCTTCCAAGGAGCTGGAACTACAGGCGCGCACTACCATGCTTGGCTAATTTTTTGATTTATTGTAGAGACGAGGTCTTGCCAAGTTGCCTGGGTGGGTCTTGAACCCGCAGGCTCGGGCAGTCCACTCGCCTGGACCTCCCAAAGTGCTGGGATTACAGGCTGAGCCACCGAGCCTGGCTACTTCCACCGTTCTAACTCAGCTACTGACTACACCTGCATGAGTGACCCCATGCCAGGTCCACCATCCAGCCATTCCCAAACTCCTGCCCCACTGAAACCTTAAGATAACGATTGCTGTTCTAAACCATGAACCATTGGGGTGATATGTTTGCAGCAACAGATAATCAGAACACAGGGCAAGTTACTTCTCTGTGCCTGTTTCTACATCTTAGAATATTGAGAGCCCCCATGACCACACTGAGCTTTTAGGAGTATTAAATGAGATAAAAACATACCTCATCTGGTACACAGTGGTACTCAAATGTTAGCAATTATCATTTGGGAAGATACATAGTGAGGAGATACTGACCAACCTGACAAAGATAATCTTTTTGTGTGTGTGTGTGTGTGAGTCAGAATCTCACTCTGTTGCCCAGCCTGGAGAGCGGTGGCACACTCACAGCCACCACTGCCTCAACCTGCTGGTCTGATAATCCTCCCACCTCAGTACTCCTAGCAGCTGGAACTACAGGCGTACACCACCAGGCCCAGCTAATTAAAAAAAAAATTTATTTATTGGGGCAAGCATGGTTAAAAACAAAAAAAAAGAAGAAAGAAATCACTTGGGGTATAATTTGCATGGTATATAAACCCTGAAATGCGGGAGTACTTGGCAGTTTTGACTTCAGTTCTACTTCCCCCCCAGTAAAACATGCTTCAGAAAGCAGAAACAATAAGGCCTTGTGATTCCTTTCCTGCTTTCAGGCACAAGTAAATTGAGTGGAAGGGAATGTTTCTCATAAATTTATCTTTGAGGACCTGAATAAAATTAAATGAATTCCTTTTCTTTTTCATGAAAACATGGGATTTTTGTATTCACTGAATTCTACAGAGTTCTTTAGTAGTTAAGTGTGTCTGAGAATGGCGCTGCTTGCTAAAACAAAGGAGATGATGGTTACAGAGCTCACCAAAGGATGGCATAAGTATCACTCATTAGGAATATTTCAAAACAAATCCACAAGTGTAAAAAACAGCATCTAAAAATATTGGGACAAAAACAATGTATGAATTTGTTTCCTTAAATATCTTAATGCACCAGGTCAACCGTTTTTAATACTTAGCATTCATTCTTGCTGAGAAGCATGAATACTTAGCATTCATTGAGCTGGAGAAGGTCTAGTCCTGCAGGTTGAATTCATGTGGCAGGGATAAACAGAGGGGACAATATAAAAGGTGCATTTCTATTTGGCATCGTATGGTGTCTGATAACCTCTAATCACGAATATTGCACATAACTGGCTCTTGAAAGCTATAGTCACTACTATTTATTCACTTTACTGCCAAGTGATACAACCCCTCCCTAAGAAACTTTTCAATTGAGTTGGAACACTTTGGGTGCCTTCTCTGGATTTTAAGGCCAAGAGGGGGCGTTTCACAAAGGTATTTGCTGGGACCACATGCGTCCTCCTCATTAAAAGGGTGAGCTTAACTTTTCTGCTTGCTGTGCTTTTTCTTGAAAAGCACTCCTCACTGCAATGCCAACAGGCAACTTACAACTCAGAATTCTTCACAACTCTTATTAGGGAGAGTATCACCTGGAAGACTTCATATTCTGGGTGCAGATGTAACACGGGTCATAAGAGAAATGACTGAATTCAAACAAAAATAAAGAATCTTCCCTCCAAATAACGTGAAAGACATTTTTTAAAGCTCAATCTGAGTCATGTCCCTAAGACCCCCTAATTCTCAGCAGAACTCACAGATAAGAAACCTAAGACCTTATGAGGAAAACTAAGTTGAAGGACTTAAAGTTGCAAGGATGAAAAAATAAAATTCAGCAAATTAAGAATTTTTTTTCACTCTTGAGACATGAGTGCCCATATCCTTCTCTTGATAACACTCAGGTTGTCCACTGGTGCCGACCTTCACGCGTGGGAGTCACACTTTCGCATCCACGCCCCCACAACCTATAATATAAGGCTTTATTAAAAAGGTGCGTGCCTGCTTGGGTGAATCGGGACGGGGGCAAGGTAGAGAGGCAAGGAGTATGAAGAGGGAAGGAACACACTCATGAGGGACAGACGGCATGGTTGCGGGCGGGGAGGCAGCAGCAAAAGATCGTGAGGTCCCTCTTACCGCTTGCAGCCTCAGTGAGGCATGACTGTGACTCGTTAGGAAGATATCCAAACTACTTGTTGACTACGGCTCCCGCAACACTATGACAGTTGATTTCAGAATCCAAGGCTGATCACGATTTCATGTATTTCTCAATCAAAATTTTCAGTTTCAAAACAAGTAAGTAGAATATATTCACTGTAGGATTTATGATATGGGTTAGTTTCTGATTGGGAAAGATTTTCTCTATTGCCAATTCTAAGAAAAAACCAGACCATGGCCAGGCACGGTGGCTCATGCCTATAATCCCAGCACTTTGGGAGGCTGAGGGGAGATTATCTGAGCCCATGGGTTCAAGACCAACCTGGGCAACTTGGTGAGTTCTCATCTCTACAATAAATCAAAAAATTAGCCGGGTGTGGTGGCACGTGCCTGTAGTCCAGCTACTTGAAAGGCTGAGGTGGAAGGCTCACCTGAGCCCAGCAGGTCGAGACTGCAGTGGCAATGAGCGTGCCACTGCACTCCAGCCTGGGCGACAGAGTGAGACTCCAACTCAAAAAAACCCATAGACCTGTTGGTTTGGTTTCTGCCCAGTAGCATGCAGCTACACAATCACACTGCCATCGATGTTAATAATTTAAAGGTTATGCCAGTGACCCATTTGTTCAAACATGCACTTCATGTTTGACGACAGCAGCATTAGCACGAGATCTTTGTTGTGTTGCCTCAGATCACCTCAGAATTCAAAAGGAGTGCAAAGATCTGGTATTTTCCAAACTGCAGGTTACATCCTATCAATGGGCAGTTTTATATATTCACATATACACATGTATGTTCACATGCATATACTCATATATGCAGTGCACTATGTAAAATGTATCAGCAAATTCTGATAACATGGACCTCTGCAGCAGATGAGGGAATAGCCTCTTCCTGCCTTCCCATAAGCAGCACAGACCACACTGGCTGAACACTAAACTTTGGGTCAGGCATGGTTCAGGCTCTTCTCGTGTATGAATCTAAACCATCTCCATAACAAGCCTGTGAGACAGGCTATTGCCATTTACATCCTTTACATGAGAAAACTGAGACACACAAAGGGTAAGTTATCTGACCAAAGTCACCCAGCCAGAAGCAGCAGGGGAGGGGTCTGATCCTGGACAGACTCCAGAGTCATGCCCCTGCAGCCTCTGCCTGGAAGCCATGTTGTCACAGAGAATGCCCGTCCTCCCAAGTCTCGCCAGAGATGAGCAGAGCCAGCTCTACAACAAAGATACCCCCACTTCCCATCTGAAGTTTGCACTACGCTCATGTCAGCCTTCTGAGGAAGCTGCTGTTTCATGAAGGTGAACTCAAGCTCAAAGTAAATAAAAGACACACACAGGCATAGTTGAAAGAGAAATGTTTATTTACATACTATTTCCTTTTTACAATACCTCCACTTTTTTAAATAATAAAGTTTTCCAAGAAATTCAGGTAGTTTTAAATTGTTAAGATATTTTAACAAAAAAGATTTTCACCTGTTGATTTGTATTTACATGAATTTTCAAGAGTTTTAAATTGTTCTTTTGAAACTGCACAACATAACCAAAAGCTCTTATTCAGATCCTGCATCTTTTCCTAAAACCTTTAATTTAGGAAATTAGGCTTATAACCGAATGTGTGGCATTCAGATCCTTTCAGATGAGGATCTTATTAACACCGCAAGGAATATGAAGCTGATTCATAAGTAAGCCACATTTTGCCTGCAAGCTGAACCTATCTGACATTTTTTGATGGAAAGTAAATATATTTCTGACACCTTAATTAAACTGCTTTGGTTAAAACTTTCTGGAAGTTTCCCACATCAGTCATACAACTGCTTATGTTGTTGTGTCTGTATTCTGAACACACTGCATTTATGAGGATGGATTTTTCGCCAGTTTGGCCAACTGTGAAAGAGACTCATGGGGGATTCAGAACTTTACTCGTAGAGGTATTGGTGCATTTCCTTTCTTTGTTCAGTCATATTTGGGATGCTTAATTTCCTCTGATATTGCATATGCAAAATCACTTACTTTTACTAGCATTTATTATTCACAAATGACTTTTAACAACAATGGTTTGATATCCTTTCATGTCATACTGACAACTTTCAAATATTTATTACAGAAACTGTAAGAGAGGGCAGATTTTGTTAATATTTTAAGTATGAACTCCTCCAACAGAAGTATAACATCTATTAAAAAATAGAAAAGATTAACTTTTTACCATGATCAAAGGTATAGTTCACAATGAAACGCCGACACAGCTCTGCCCAGCTTCTCCGGGAGAACAGCCAAGGGCCTGTCTTGATCGTTATGCAGCAGCGATAGAGGTATCATCCACGAGGCGACCCTGTGGCTTTAAAGCAGAAACAACAAATGGGTTTGCAAAGTCATCATGGCAACAACAGTTCTAGTAATCGAAAGGACTTTGAAATTCTTCTTTTTTTTTTTGTATTGGAGTCTCACTCTGTCGCCCAGACTGGAGTGCAGTGGCACGCTCCTGGCCACCGCAGCCTCAACCTGCTGGGCTCCGGCGATTCTTCCGCCTCAGCCTTCCAAGTAGCCGGAATTACAGGTGCGCGTTACCACACCCGGCTAATTTTTGATTTATTGTAGAGATGAGGTCTCGCCAAGTTGCCCAGGCGGGTCTTGAACCTGCGGGCTCAGGCAATCCACTCACCTCCCAAAGCGCTGGGATTACAGGCTGAGCTACCGAGCCCAGCTGATTTTGAATTTCTTAAAACTGCTTTACAAAAACAAAGTAAAAGGCGTGTAAACATCAAAATAAAAGTGGTTATTCTCCTCCTTCCATCCCACCTTCCTCCTTCCTGTGCACCTGGGGGTAGCCCGGCATAGCCTGGAAGTTCTCTCCAACGCTGTGGCAGCCGTCCCCAGCTGCCTAATCCACTTCAGGCACTGCTTCTCTTTCACTCTGACATTTCAGCAGCTCCTGCTGCTCTATCACTGATGGTATATGGAGGACCCTCATTTACCATTCAGCTGTATCGTGCCAAACAGATACAGTTTTATTCTCCCCCTCTTGCTCAGGGCCCTCCTATTCCTCAAGCTGCAAGCAGGCCTGAAACCTGAGCTGACAGAGAAGTTCCTTTTGTGAAATCAAGGTCTCCCAATTTCTTACTTGAAAAAAAGTGATCCACAATGACTGCAGTGTATCTAACAATGTGTACTATAAGGACAGAAGGAGATATAGCCAAAGACTGCCTTTCTCCCTAAGATCACTGACTGCAACATTTAAGACATCACACCAGAAAAGTCAAGACTAGAAATAAATAAAACATTGGTTTTTAGCTGTAAAATTTCTGACAGGTTAACAACATCACATCGGAGAGTGATGTAGTAGCTAAAAGAACAAAATTTTTGTAACGAATTTTATTTTTATTACTCAGCTGTACAACAGCAGACCTCTGTGGGGCAAGCACAAGAGAGATGGTGATCAGCAGATGAAACGGAATAACGCTACACTTTGCCATCAAAAGACTCTGTTGTGCTTCAGGAAGAATGAGTCCCGAGGCAGTGAAGAGGGCGCTCCCGCTTTGGGTCTTGTGCTGTGGGCTCATGTACGTACACAGGCATGTGTGGGGGTACACGTACACATGCACAGGAAGTACAGGTCTCGGGCACTCAAGGCGGAGGGAGATGAGTGAAGAATAGCTTCCTGTCTGTACTCCTACTCTGAAGCTTTCTTACTGATGGCGGCCGCTCGATTTCAGAAACAAAGTAAGGGCTCGACCTAGTCAGATCCTTGCCAAACACGGCTTTATAAGCAGGGCAGAAAACGAATATAACATGCAATTAGAAAGCTGAGTTCGTCTATGCAAAGGAAGAAAAATATGGATCCAACCTTGATCTGAGACAGCACTGTCCAATACGGGAGCCACTAGTCACATCTAGCTATTGAAGTGTGGCTAGTGCACCCAAGTAATTTTTAAATTTAACTGAAACTTCTAGAGTCAACATGTGACTACTGTACTTGACAGCACAGCTCTAAAATTTAAAAAAGTGCACGAGGATTGCCAGTGATTTCAGTCAGCGATTGTTCAATAGGTGGGAAATGATGATTCTCGGTCACTGTCCAGGAGTGTGACAGGTAAAAGAAATTTTCATGGACAAATAAAATTGTATATACAAATATTTATGGTATATGACATGATATTGTGAAATATGTATATTATGTGCACACTGAGGAATGGCAACAATTTTTAATTATAAGTTTTCCTAACTGAGAAAGGAGCTGGCTCTGAGGATTCCAGTCAACATTTTTGGCAGCAGTCAAGTTCTAGAAGGTGGCACAGTACTTGTACTTAGAAAAGAGATCATTATGTTAAAACTTAAGAAAGTTTACTTTCTGGACCCTTTCCTTATGAATTTAAACATTACCTAGAAGAGGTTTACCTTGAAGGAAAATCAAAAGACTGACTAGCATTAGTTGGGATTAGTCTACTAGGTACCAGAGTCAAGGACTGAAAGAGATTGAGTGGTGGAACCAAAATTTCTCTCTCTCAATATGAGTAACTCTAGCATCTCAAACAAGCTACCTCTGAACAGCTCGAATATGACCAAGTCTGTATGCTGACACATAACTTCCACAATGACAAAAATAGTAATTCTAAGTTTAGGAATAGCAAATTTCAGAAAATCCAACAGCTAAGAGGACATTACCACCCGGTCTCCTTCCACTTTCCCATCTTATAATAAGACCTCTCCCCTGCAGGGTGACTTCAGACATGAGAGTGTGTAGTAACAACAAAAGTGTAGTCAGATGAGACTGGGTGAAAATGCTTAAAAAGTCACAGCTCCAACACATGGAGATCCAAAACTATTAGATTTTTATTTTACAATTTAAAAGTATATTGTGGGATAGAAGCCTGGAAGGGTTAATAAAATGAATTTTTACTGATGTAAAAAAAAAGTTGTGTAAATCTAGAAAAATAAAAGCTGGAAGAGTATGAAAGATACACTAATACAGACTAATTTACAATTTGTCAAATCCTGGTTATATAAACAAGGGACAGTTTCTAAGACAGACGAAAAAAATGAAGTGGAGAGCAATGCCTTGTCATTCCAAAAGGAATGCAAACTTTTAAGTTGCACTGAAGTGTATTTAAAGTCATAAATATTCATATAGATGGAGTAATGGAGGCACCAGATCTCTCTGGAGGGACGGCTCTACTCTGAGGCATCTGGAATAACTTAATCAGAAGCTGGGATGCTGAGTTAAATGAATCCCTCTCATCCAGCTCACACTCTCTTACACACTATGACCATCCTACAATACTCTTATTGTAGGGACCTGAACATTATTTAATTTTTTAAAATAGCCCAAAGTATGGGCTCTGACAGATGATTATTTTCAGAAAATAAATCGAGTATTACAGTTAAAGAAAACAAGGAAAGTTTAAGGTTATTAAAAGTTAATTCATTTTGATTAAAAACTAGTTACAATTTTTAAATATAGTTTATTAAGCCAAGAAGAAAACATGTTTAAGGATATGATGAGGATAAATCATAATTTGATAAAAATCTTTGTAATTAGATTCTATAATAGTAATTTTATAGAAATGAATAGAAATATTGCCTAATTCATACACTAAAAAGTCAAAACCATGAGTCTCAAAGTATTGTTCAGTGAAATTACATGAAAAAAGTCCTCTTTCTGTTTAAGACACTGAATTTAAAAAGCAGAATATGTCTAAGCCTTACCTTTACAAAAATGCTGGTAGGTATAAAACGCTTAAGCAGCTGATTTGTGAAGTTAGGAAATCTAAGCAAGTTGATGTTGAGAGATGGCAGTTGCTGGTATCCAGCCATCAGAGGATAGAAGTTATATAACATTTCCTGTTCGGTGCCAGGTAAGATACGTAATCGAATCTAAATCATAAAAAGTTACCAAGAAAGACAATCAAAGAGATGCAAAAGCTGTTTGCTGTTACCCTCAACTGTTTATGAAAGACTGAACCCTCAAATCCTTCTGGTGAAGCATTCATTCTCTCCTATTACATCTTCCTGACAGGTTACAAAATGTAAGGTTGAATTAGTCCAAAGCTAGGACAGGGCAGACAGGACATGTGTAAAATTGAAATGCATAATATCTCCATTTCTGCCAAGGTCTACAAAGGCAACTTATACCTCCTTAAGAATAAGAACACTAGAAAGTTAAAATTGTGTCTTAAACCTGGTAGATTTTACATTCACAGTATGTTATGGGATAATTTGCATTAATAGACATTATGTTCACATAAGACAAACTAGCTGTTTCTAACACTTTATAAAGATTTTAACTTTGTGCTAAGGTAAGTAACTTCAAGAAAGAAAAATCTTTTAATTTATTTATTTAAAATATGTGGGGTACAATTCAGGGTTAGGTATACAAATTTTCATTATGCATGTACACTTGTAGATGAGGTGTGACCCCCAAAATCTTTAACAATATTTCAGAAAATAAAAACTGGTTTTTGGTATCTTTATATTTCCTAACTATAAGTCAACACTTGGAAAAGATAAAGACACTCAAGAAAAGCTTACTCATTTGTAAATGTACATGTAAATGCATGTGTCAAGGATAACATGCATAGGTGTACCAAAATATTACAGCTTGCATTATAGTTAATACTGTATACCATAAATGTAAACCAGCACATGAACATACAGCATATTTCACAGTACAACTGTTAGGCAATTAACAACAAATGCGGCACTCAGAATATGTACAGCACAGTTGATTAGTTAGGGTAGATACTTCTAGGTATCAAGACATGCTTGTTCCTCTAATTATGCCCCCCCGCTTTTTTTCTTGAGTTGGAGTCTCACTCTGTTGCCCAGGCTGGAGTGCAGTGGCATGCTCACAGCCATCACAGCCTCGACCTGCTGGGCTCGGGCAATCCTTCTGCTTCAGCCACCCATGTAGCTGGAACTACAGGTGTGCGCTACATCTGGCTTATTTTTTGATTTATTGTAGAGATGAGGTCTCACCAAGGTGCCCAGGCTAGTCTCGAACACCTGAGCTCAGGCAAACCTCTCGCCTCGGCTTCCCAAAGTGCTAGGATTACAGGCTTGAGCCACTCTGTGCCCAGTCTTATGCCCTTATTAATAAAAAAAAATGCTGACTATTGAGGGGTGTCTGTTATCCCTCTGACAGGGGAGGACAGTACTCTCACCGAAGCATCGTTTTGCCTCAGTGTTATATTTGCTCATTTTAAAACTGATGAACTTTTCCACTTCTGATTTGACTGAATAAATAAAAAAAAAAACCCGGATAAGTTATTTTTAAACACAGATGCAAATTTGTATCTAAGCATATCAAAGGTAAGTAAATTATATGCAAGATCAAAATTTGTATGAAATGTCACTGACAGTTCAGAAGAAAAACAGGCTGTTAATACTGGTATAGTCATACCTCCCAGCATCAAAGTAACACACACACATACCCCAGTAACAAAGGGGAGATTCAGGAATTCTAATACAATATAGCCCAAGGACTTATGAACCTTTAACCTGTATGTCTGATCTTCATGATGTGAAAGTGTAACCCACCTTTATAGGAAGTTTTACTTAATCTTTAAAAGTGCTGGGCAGAGTGTGATAGCTTAAGCCTGTAATCCCAGCACTTTGGGAGGCCGAGGTGAGAGGATTGTCTGAGCCCACGGTTCGAGACCAGCCTGGGCAACATGGTGAGACCTCATCTCTACAATTAAAAAGAAAAAAAATAGCTGGGCATGGTAGCGCACGCCCATAGCTCTGGCTACTTGGAAGGCTGAGGAGGAAGGATCGCTGGAGCCCACCAGCAGGTTGATGCTGGGGTGGCCATGAGCATACCACTGCACTCCAGCCTAGGTGGCAGTGAGACTCCGACTCAAAAACAAAAAAGTGCTTAAAAATTTCACTATATCAACAATAGGACCACAGTCAGCCATAATTCATTCATTCATAAAAACTAAACATATAGCTCTCCACTTCCTGGTAACACTTTTGTGACTACATAAGCAACACAAGATATGACCAGTACCTGTTTGAGACCTGAGAACATGAAGGCATCACTGGGCTCCACAGAGATTTCTACATCTTGAACTAAGTTAGTCTTATTCTGTAGGTGATACTTGACAGGTAATGATTCTCTGACACGCCCAAATGATGGCAGATCTACAGAGAAAGATGACACGTTTCTCTTGGTTAAAAAAGTAGCTCACCATTTATGGGTTCTTTTAAAAATAAATCTCATTCTACAGGCACAGTATTACTTAAACCAATGACATTACTGTACTCCTGCCAGATAAGAAAATTCCTTGATTGGACAATAGCCACGGGACTACGTGATAAAACAGGCTAAGAAAGTAAGTGCCCTTCTAAGAATGATTGGCCTACAAAGGAACTTGGCTATCAGGAACTGAAATATATTAAGGAACAATTTATTTTTTTTTGAGTCGGAGTCTCACTCTGTCGCCCAGACTGGAGTGCAGTGGCATGCTCCTGGCCACGGCAGCCTCGACTTGCTGGGCTCCAGTGATCCTTCCGCCTCTGCCTTCTAAGTAGCTGGAACTACAGGCGCGCGCTACCATGCCCAGCTAATTTTTAAATTTTTTTATTTATTAACCTGGCAAGAGATGAGGTCTTGCCAAGTTGCCCAGGCGGGTCTCGAACCCGTGGGCTCAGGCAATTCACTCACCTGAGCCTCCCAAAGCGTGGGATTACAGGCTGAGCCACCGAGCCCGGCTGGGAACAATTTTTAAAATCTATAAAAATTTCCCAAAAACATCAATCACAGTTCCTAAACTAGAATAAGCTAAAGTTGTGTTTTAGTGAAAGTGTAAATAAAATTTTTATTCATTCATTTATGTTTACAATGTTACTTTTTTGCAATTCTGCTGTTTTATTTTTCCTAAGATATAAAAATATGGAACGCTTCATGAATCTGTCACCTTTGCGCAGGGGCCATGCTAATCTTCTCTGTATTATTTCAATTTTAGCATATGTGCTGCTGAAGGAAGTACTATACACTGTTTTTTTTCAAAATCATTATAGACATCAGGGTAACAAGCTGATGAAGTTTCTCTTGACAGAAGTACTCCAGTAAAAAAAGAAGGAATGACAGATATATTATGTGCCTCCCTATGGAAGCATGCACCACTAACTAACTATTCTTGCCAAAGACATGAAACTGAGTCTGAGAGACAAGCCTACAGACAGACTGCCAATTTATAGAAAAGAGAAACACTTAACTATGACATCATGTAATCAGCAAATTCAGGCTGTGGGAAACTCTACAGGATAAATGACTTCTGCAAGGAAGAGAGGAGGAGAAGTAGGACGAAGAGAAGATGGAAGTGTTGGATAGAAAGTGGCATCCGAAAAGACATAATGGAGAGGTTAATAGTGGAGCTACCCATAGGTCATAGATGGACAGTATGAGACTCATTCATTAATTGCAGCATACAGACTTCAAAATAAACTGAAAAAATTCAGCATCAACTAGGGAAATTCCAACACTGGAATTTGATGATATTAAAAATTATTGCTAATTTTTAAAGTCATGATAATGGAACTGGAGTTATGGCATACAGAAACATTTATGGCTGAAATGATATCTGGGGTTTGTTTCAAAATAATAGGGATAGGAGCAGTGTGCTGAAATGGAGGTGAAACAAGACTGGTCATAATCTACTTTTACAAATGTTGAAAAATTTCCATAATAGAAAGCTAAAAAACAAAATCTTAAACACTAAAATAAATATTGGTACTGAATCCTTATTATCAAGTAAACTTTGAATCCCACTACCTGCGTTCACATGGAGAGGGATGTTTTCCACAATCACATGTGGCAGAGTGATGACTGTACTGATGACGGGGATGTTCTCCATGGCTGATGTCCTACAGTGGAAAAAAGTCACTCTTTTTAAACTCATGCTTTATGTAAGAAGTTAATAAATCAAAAACAGGGTACATGTGTATTTGCCAGTTAGTTTAAAAGGAAATATAAGTTATTTATTCATTTCCCAAAAGTTTATTAATGGAAGTAATTTTGTGAAGAGCTTTTAGAATCCCACTTTTGTTTTGAGTAATAGACGTTACAACCTACCAATGGATACTATTTGTTACCAGCGTAGGGTGACATCAAGAGGACTGTCAGACTGTCAATCATAAGGCACACCATTTAATACAGCATTTTGGTAGCAACACTTTCTCAGTGTAGGAGTAATGTAGTGATTTACATTATGATACAAATTTCCTAACACATTGAGGATGGTTTACAGATGGGCCCAGACGACTTTAAAGAGGACTGAAGTGACTCACTACAAGTACACAGTAGAAACTAAAGAATTAAACATATTTTACTATTAAAACAAATACAGAGGTATTTCAACATTTGCGGAGATAAAGTAACGTGATGAAACGGAAATATTTTCCCTCTGTTACGTGAGAAAGTGACATGCAGGGGTGGCTGGCATCCCTGCCTGCTGGGGAACTCTCCTGTGAGGTATCTGTATCTAGGGGCAGGACAGCTGACGTTAGGTGAACACTATTAGAGCAAAGGCAACCAGCATCTAAGCCTTCACCAGTAATAAATAAATCTATCTCTGTATCATTACACTACCATGATGGAATAATTTAGTACATTTACAATATTTACAATAGCTGTTTTAACACCTAAAAACATATTAAATTAAACATCAATATGGTAAATTCAGGGAAAAAAAGTTTTCTATTTCTTAATAAAATTATATAGTTCTCCATCTTTGTTTTTTTAAAGTTTCTGCTTTAATTTCTAATAAACGTTCTTTGAGGTGTCAACGATTTTTCAAAGCGTAAGGGTGTTCTGAGACCAAAAAGTTTGAGAACTGCTGGCCTGTCGTTGTTTTCTTTATTTTCCACCTTTGTCAGATTTATATATCAGTGCTCTTCCTGAAAACAAAACCAGGAAACTCTCCTTCTTTATGTTTTGCATACGATCTATAGCATGAGAATAATAAGTAATGATGCCATGCAATTACATATACTAAACATACATTCTTTCAAGGTTTGAAAGTAATGTTCTGAATTTTCTTCAATTATTTTTTACATTTAAAAATTTATATTTCAGTTAATTTTTATAGTTTGTAACCTTTTAGTGATGGTTATAACATTGAGGTCTTCCTAATCATTATATAACTTAAATAAGTTATATAATTAACTTATATACATTACTTTGTTATATAAAACACTGCCTTAAATTGATACCTGATTCCCTTCTCATTTTTAAGTAATAAATTTTATTGTCTTAAAACTTATAAAAATAATTAAGCCACACCAACAGAACAGCACTTAAAATACCACATACCCACCTCCCAATATAAGAAAGAAAACACACCACTACCGTTAAATCTTGCTTGCAACCCCCAACCCTTCCCTCCAGAGTTGACCACTAGCCTGAAGTTGGCATCTATCACTCTCGCGTATTTCTTTACACTCTTCCAAATTATGTATGTAGTCCTAGGAAACATATAGCATGCTTTACATATCTTTCAATGTCATATAAATGCAATTCACATTTTCATCTGTAGCTTGTTTTTCACTTTACAAAGTTGTTGACAAGTGTAGTCCTGGCTCACACATTTTCTATATATCTATATATAAATAAAATATTCCACTGCATGAATGCTCCATAGTTTATTCACTTTCTTACTTATGGGCACTTCATATTTTTCTAACTTTTTATTATTATAATCAGCACTGCTATAAATGTTCTTACACAGATACCCTTTGTGTACCAATTTAGCTGGGCTAAAATTTCATTAGCATATAAGTCACAAATTGCAACAAACACAAATCAAAGTTTAGTCATCTAAAAAGTCTACGTTTTTCACAAATGGTCAGTCCTATCCGCGTGACTTCTATCTTGTTCTTCAGAATGACAGAAGTTCACAACTACTTGACAATGGCAAATAATAAAGGTATCAGAGCAACAGAGACATTGGAGAAAGACAAAATTGGTTTTTTTACCTCTTCCAGGAGATTATATAATGCCCCGTCGCTGCTCCACCTTCAGCACTTCCGAGAGATGGGCACCGAAGACAAAAGCACTCACTAGCACTCTCCCCCGCCTGCAAGACAACTATAAGGACGAGTCTTGAGCATTCTTAGCCGTGGCTTCGTCTGTCAGGGAGAACTTCACATTCAAGGAGCATAACACAGAAGGAATACCTTATCGATTACATAGTACTTATAGAGACTTAGAAACTAAGGCCCAGAGACGTTAAATGACTTTGTCAAGTTCACAGAATCCATTGATTTTGCTAATCCATTACAGTAATAACCAGTGAGGCATCAATACAGCTGTGACAAAGTCCTACTAAAACTAATGAGCAGGAGAGGCTTGGAAACAGAATAACACCCTATGGTGATTATTTTCCTTTTTCCAAATTATTTCATTCCTCCAAAGGAAACATTTTGGGGCAGAAAAAAGAAAAGAGAAAATTTTAGTTACCCTTAAAGTACTTAAAGTGCCATTCCAGAAAATTCTGGCTTTCTCTGAGAAAACACACACAGGTTGAGCATCTCTAATCTGAAAATCTGAATCCTGAAAATGCTCCAAAATCCCAATCTTTTCATGTGCCAACATGACACTCAGAGGTCATGTTCAGATTTTTGGATTAGAGATGCTCATCCACTAAGCATAATGCGAATATTCCAGAACTTGAAAAATCTGAAATCTGAACCACTTCTGGTCCCTATAAAGTAGGCAGGAGGAGAGCATCCTTACACAGAGGTCGGGAGCCACATTAGGCAACAATGAGGCAGGGTAAATGCTGCTAGTGAGACCATCTTTTAAGGCTGAGTATCTCATATCGGAAATGCTTGGGACCAGAAGTGGTTCAGATTTCAGATTTTCCAAGTTCGGGAATATTTGCATCAGTAAGTTCCCAGACTTCTAACCTGCAGAACATTTAGACAATAAACCTGTGTTATCGTTTCAAGCCACTACCTTTGTGGTTATTTGTTAAAGCTGCAATAGGAAACTAATACACTGGAGGCTCAAAACAGAGAGTATTCCTTAATATAAACACTTATTAACCAACTATTATAATGCTGGCAATATGAAGATGAGTAAGACACAGCGCTGGCTCCAATAGGACACAGAGTCTAGAAGGGGAGCCATAAAAATACTGGTGATCTGTCTGTTCTTGCTGACTCCTTCTCTTTAAGTTAATCATGTGCCAGATCCTGACTTTGGTTCCCTTTTTCTTCCTCTACACATCTTCAGCTGCCACACACCTTCAGCTGTCTGCATTCCCTAGACCAATTAGGGAGTCACCATATATCCAATCCAAACCAGGAACTGCAGAGAAAAACTGCACTCCTCCTTGATAGCCACAACCAGCCCAGCACCATGGTCTGCCTTCTGAATGTCTCTTGAGTTCAGCTTCTCCTCTGCATTCTCACTGCCATCCTCACCACTTCTCACCTGGTAGTATGATAGGTTAAGTGTTACAATATAAGTAGATACAAAATGCCATGGGAGTAAAGCAGGAAGAGTGCTTAGCCCTGCTTGGGAGTTTTATGAAATTAGACCTTACATAAGCCCAGAAGAGCAAGCAAGACTCAACAGGTTGAAAAAGAGAGAGCAGGCTTTAGACAAAAGTAATAATATGTTCAAAAATAGAGGGGGATAATGTTTGATGAATGCAGTAATTTTTGCCTTGGTTAAGGTCTGGGAAACAGTAAAGAAAATTAGAGAGTCTGGCATAGAAACAGTTGGAAAGGTGAGCCAGAGACTGACTGGATGAGGTCTTCTGTGTCATGAAGTTTTTTGAAGCAAGCATGACAAGTTCAGAAGAGTAATTTAAGCAATCAAACTCTAGCAGTAATATGAAAGGCAGAATATGGAGAGAACCACTGGCAAGGAGGAAGGGAGCTAAGATGCTACTTCCAAGGACCAGGTGAGAAGTGGTGAGGATGGCAGTGAGAGTGCAGAGGAGAAGCTGGACTCAAGAGACATTCAGAAGGCAGACCATGGTGCTGGGCTGGATGTGGCTATCAAGGAGGAATGCAGTTTTTCTCTGCAGTTTTTAGGTTGGATTAGATGTATGGTGACTCTGTAATTGGCCTAGGGAATGCAGACAGCTAGAGGTTGTGTGGCAGCTGAGGATGTGTAGAGGAAGAAAAAGGAAACCAAAGTCAGGGTCATATGCACGACTGATATTTAAAGAAAAAGAGTCAGCAAGAACAGACAGATCACCAGCTTTCTTTCTTTCCCTCTCTTTTTTTTTTTTGAGTAGGGGTCTCACTCTGTCACCCAGGCTGGAGTGCAGCGGCATGCTCACAGCCACCACAGCCTTGACCTGCTAGACTCAGGCGATCCTTCTGCCTCAGCCTTCCAAGTAGCTGGAACCACAGGCATGCGTCACCACGCCCAGCTCATTTTTTTGATTTATAATAGAGATGAGGGCTCGCCAAGTTGCCCAGGCTGGTCTCGAACCCCCGGACTCAGACAATCCTCTTGCCTCTGTCTCCCAAAGTGCTGGGATTACAGGCGTGAGCCACCACTCCTTTCATTAAGCTGTTAGAAGATGAGAACTGAGCTAAGGTATTTCATATTACCTTATATATGTTATTTCATTATTTCATATACAATCTTTCAACTCTAAGAAGTGATGGAACAAAATGAACCATCTATGTTAACAAAACAGCAAGTGGTAGGACCTCAGAGGTTTTGATTCTCATCAAAATCTAGCTCAGTCTGACTATAAAGTTCATGATTATACCAAATTAGTAGAGTGAGTAGAAAAGGAGAGGACAGAAAAACAAAGTAGAATCAGAGACAATGATTTCCAAAAACACAAGAGAAACCCATGTTTCAAGGAGACATGGAAAAAATGTATAAAGTCATTCTGAAAGCAAAATATGTTTATTATTACTTTACAGGACGTAGATCATATTTTTAGTATTTCAATACAAAGGTTTAGGGACATGTTTGATTTTTATCTATTGATCTTAGGTAAAGACTTGATGCCAAGAGATTGTGTAAAAATCCAATTATTCTATTATTCCAAGGGAAAACAGTCCCTCCTTTATGTGGAGTTTTCTAGAATACAGAGAATGAGACTTCCTGATTTTGTTGGTGTCTTCTTGAGAGCCTAGCCTGGTGCCTTTTACTGAAACACTCCATAAAAATTCATTGGCTGATAGATATTGAAACTTATATTCAGACCAAATGCAAAAATGTTGTAATTCTGATAACTGTGTATCTAATTTTAATCTGTGAAACAAATCAACTATGACTGAACACTGTAAGTCAGTGTTCGATCATTGTAATACAGAAATAAAGTAGTTGATAAACAAATAGAGCAAATAAAACAACTCAATTATGTTTGGTTTTAGACTACAACATGATTTTTTTCTCACAATATTTACCTCATAATATAGTTAGGCATAATTTTTCTGGGTTAACATTCAAATTAATTTCTATCACCTCTAATAGCTCAAGCACACAAGTCCAAAGTACACTGAACCAGAAAGCTCTTGTCCTGGGTTAGCATCTGTTCTGCAAACTGTTTTAGCTGGGTGATTCAGAAAATTTTTCATCTACTTCTCTGTCTTTTCCAAGGATCCCTTAATAAACACTTTTTCCCATTTCAAATTACAAACAGCAGTAACCATTAGTTAAAAACTAATGAGAAAAAACAATATTTTAAAAATTTAAATATATAAAAAATTCTTATTTTACTTTCAAGTACATTTCTCAAAGTGTAACTTCCTTAAAGTAAAAAAAATCTGATCTTTTAAAACCATATATACTCAAGCAAATGGTAAATGCTACTCGTTCTACGTAATTCTGTATGTATTTGCTTTTGTGAATATAAGACTTAAACACTCTCACTTAGCAAAAAGCTAACTCTTACATTGCTAGCCTACCCCCACACCCACAGACACATACACACCCACACTCACATGCACACAACTCTTTCTGCTGTTTAAGTAGGAATGACCTGAAGCCTCACCTTTGTCGACTTGGGACTCTAGCTGGTCCACTGCTCTCATAGAAGGAGCAAGCTGTAGCTCACTGGATACAATAGTGAGGGCCCAGGGTGAGGCACTTAAAAGATCCGTCATCAACAGAAAGGGGATGTCAGCATAAATCCTTTCCAGATGCTCAAACTATCACAGAAGACGATAAAATGTCTGTCAAGAATTACATTAATCCATTTTATTTTTTCAGCCAATTTCTATAACCTATGCAATTTCCAGTGTGTTTTGCAAGAACATACCTTTGTAGAAACAAATTTAACTGCAACATCAAATGGAAAGACTGTTTCTATTGTTACAGTTTCATCCTGTAAGAAAATTTAAATGGCACATTCAACTGCTTTTCTAAATCATTTAAAATACATAAAGTTTTAAAAACAGAAGGCATACAAAACACAATCTATAATTGATCAATAAATAATCCCAAATTATACATGAGGAAGTGAAGCTATTTCTCTTGGATAGCATTTGTAAAGCTATGTAGAGAGACCTACTATTTCTAAAAGGTATCTTATGGCTTTATAACAATTTCCACTGCAAAGTGCTTTCTTACACAGTATTTATCTCAGGACCTAGTGAAGAGGGCAGGGCAGGCATCACTGTTTTATAGAGGAGGAACCAGATGTTCCACAAAGCTAGTGGTACCAAGTCCAGAATCTGGGTCTTTCCTTTCTCCAAGTTCTTTATTTAGCTTTGATTCAAAATAACTAATAATAATAATAACAACAATATAAGATGATACTGTTATAATCATGACCCACGTATTATGTAATGTTCATAATCACTCAAAGAATCAGGTAGTATTATGACTACTATTTTAAATGAGGTCACATAGCTAGAAAGTTAGTGACAAAGGCACAGAAACTAAACTGGAACTGACCCTGGAGCCAATACTCTCTTTTTTTTTTTTGAGTTGGAGCTTCACTCTGTCGCCCAGACTGGAGTGAAGTGGCCGCTCCCAGCCACTGCAGCCTCGCCTGCTGGGCTCCGGCGATCCTTCCGCCTCAGCCTTCCGAGTAGCCAGAATTACAGGCACGCGCTAGCACGCCCGGCTGATTTTTTGATTTATTGTAGAGATGAGGTCTCGCTGCCCATGCTCTTAGTGAACATGTTAGATCTCTTCTCAAAGAGTCTTAGAAAAGCAATGGAGTTATCATATCTTTCAAAACAAAAGACCCACCTTCTTGGTGAGAAACCTTTAAAAAAGGCCAAGTTGGTTAAAAGCTCAGGCCATATTGCCAGATAAATCTGGATTCCAATTCTGGTTGGATACATAGTAACTGTGTGACCTTGGATACAGCTATATGACCTTGGGAAAGTTATACAGTTTATCCAAAACGCCTGGGAGTAGAAGTGTATTTTCATGAGTATCATGTCAGCACTCAAAACGTGTCAGATTTTAGAGCAGTACGGATTTTGAATTTTCAGATTTGGGACACTCAACCTGTACAGTCTCTACTTTGTTTTCTGAGTTATAGTCTCACTCTGTTGCCCCAACTAGAGTGCAGTGGCACACTCCTGGCCACCGCAGCCTCGACTTGCTGGGCTCAAGCGATCCTTCCAAGTAGCTAGAACTACAGGCGCACGCCACCACACCCAGCTAATTTTTAACTTATTGTAGAGATGAGGTCTCGCCAACTTGCCCGGGTAGGTCTTGAACCTGCGAGCTCAGGCAATCCACTCACCTCGGCCTCCCAAAGCGTGGGATGACAGGCTGAGCCACCGAGCCAGGTCTGTACAGTCTCTTTTAAACCTTAGTTCTATACTCCTCAAAGGGCTACTATGAGAGTTAAAAGAGACAACGTAGATCAAGGGTTGGAACTGCACCCTCAGCTCCTAACTCACAAGGGGTCTGTGTATCACACCAGGGTATGTGACATTTTTGACAGAATATTATGTGCCTTTCTCCATCCCACTTGGGAAATACTGCTAACTCTTTTGGGATATTTTTCTTTTCCAATGAACTGTAAACAGCCCACAGCCCAGACTCTGTGCAGTAATGAAACTACAAATCCCAGAATGCTACTAGGCCTTCTCTGCTGGACTGAGGACTTAATTCCTAAGAAAAAATTGAGACAAGGATCAAGAAGGTAATAAATATCAAAAAATCCATTAATAAAAGAATATAAACATTATATACAGTATGGCTAAATCTATTTAAAAACACAGCCCTTCAAAAATTTCTATAAATAGCAGAGAACAATAAGAAACACATAAAGAGTTAGCTGCCTCTGAATTGCTGAACTATAGTGTGATAGTTTCTATTTTCACTCTTTATGTGCACTTGCCAAAAAATAATTTTCACAAGAATCTTTTTTTTCATTTTTATTTTGAGTTGGAGTCTCACTCTGTCACCCAGGCTGGAGTGCAGTGACCGCTCCCAGCTACCGCAGCCTTGACCTGCTGGGCTCCGGCGATCCTTCCGCCTCAGCCTTCCAAGTAGCTGGAACTACAGGGCCACGCCACCACGCCCAGCTAATTTTACTGATTTATTGTGGAGATGAGAGCTCGCCAAGCTGGCTAGGTCTCCCTTTTTAAAATATTTTTTCTAGCTGGGCTCGGTGGCTCAGCCTGTAATCCCACGCCTTTGGGAGGCTGAGGTGAGTGGACTGCCTGAGCCCGCAGGTTCGAGACCCGCCTGGGCAGCGAGACCTCATCTCTACAATAAAATAAAAAAATCAGCCAGGCACGGTAGCGCACGCCTGTATCCCGGCTACTCGGAAGGCTGAGGTGGAAGGATCGCCGGAGCGCAGCAGGTCGAGGCTGTGGTGGTCGGGAGCGGCTACTGCACTCCAGTCTGGGCGACAGAGTGAGACTCCAACTCAAATGCT